TGCCTGGTGTTCTCTGCCGAAAGTGCAGAGAATTCCCCCCCCCCCGTTTGTTTTGTTTTAAATAATGTGCCACACTAAGTTTCTTCCATAGTAGCAGCGCATGCAAAAATAGCTCAGTGTAAAAATACAATATAATCTGACAACGTTAACAGATAGAAAAGCATTTTTTAAAGTCTTCCTCAGGAAGCAAAGGGCCAATCCTTTGAAATCACGTGGTGCAAACCAGTAGAACAAGGAAGCAACTTTTATCCAGTGTTCAGCAGAGCTGGGCAGAGATTTGCATAGCCAGAAAGAGGAGCTGTTGGGCATAGAAAGGTTAAGAAATAGGGCCATGGCTGTGAAGGAGGATGGTTGGGCCAGGTGACCACCCGCTGGCAAAGGAGGTTGACCAGCTCATGGTACTCAGCCCTGACTCTGCTGCGCCTCCCAGCTTTGAGATTCCCTCCAGGTGAATTGGAAACTCCGTGGGTTGAATTCCACAGGGAACTGCAGGGTTCTTGCACTCGTGGTTAGCTCTCAATGACAGGAGGAGCCTCTGCCTGGATCTGTGGGACCCTCCAGAAAAGCTGCTTTCCTTGCCGCGCTCTCTGCGGCAGACGAAGGGCCGTCCTCGAGGAAAGACACTGCAGAAACCAGCCAGGGGAGATGTGCCACAGGCAGCCCGTTTTCCTGGCTGATCCCAATTATCCCAAGGTCCCCTGGGAAGCGGAACGGGCCAGGCGGAAGGAGGCGCCCGGCCTCTGAGCCGGCTCCCCCGTGCTCTGGGCCCCTGCGACCCCTGGCTAGTCGGAGGATTTCTTGGCCGGGGGTCGGGCGGAGGCCGCCTTCGGCTCTCGGCCTTTCTTCCCATCGCCATTTTAATGAGAAATCATCGGAAGGGGATGCGCAGGAAGCTCCGGCCAGATCAAAACGATCACGGAGAGCGAGGGGATGCTGGGGGGATCGCGGGCAGGAGATCCCCAGAAAGGATCCCCCGAAGGAAGAGCCAGCCGAGGAAGCGCAAAGCGCCCGAGCTGCGCAGGAGTCACCGCCGGCTCCCAGCCGCTCGCTCGGCCTCGTTGCAGGGACCGCGAGGGGCCGAGCCGCAGCGCACACGGCAGGGCGCCCCCAGCCCCGCCGCCCCTTCTCCGNCAGTTCCTTCAGTCCCTCCTGTGCAGGCCCCCCCCCATGCCCCCCCCAGAGCCTCCTCCCTCCCCAGAGAAGAGCCCTGGGCAGAGAGGGGGTGGAGGGGTCCCACTCTTTGCAATGGGAGCAGCTACCCCCCCTCCCCTCCAGGACCCCAGGGGAGGCATTTCCATCTCAGCCAAGCCAGTTGCTCTCAGAATTCCTCACGGGGAGCAGAAGAGGAGACCACACACCCACCTGCTGAGGCCCCAGAGTGGCTCTGGAGATGCCCAGGCCCCTGAGGGGGAAGGAGGGAGCCAGCCAGCCTTTGTGAGATCAGCAGGAGCCACAGCTATGCCAGCCTCATAGAGGGCAGACCTTTGCCTGCCTGTGGGGCAAAGCAGCTCACCTGCCTTGGGTCACAACGCGGCTGCCCTACACTGTCAAGCCCACTGCCTCCATCACTGGGAGTGATGCTCCCTGACCATGACCCCAATTTGTGGGGAAGGGCTCAACTGTCCCAAGCAGCGTGGAAGATGGGAGGGGGCTGTTGCAAGGCAGCCTGGAAAGGGAGGGCAGGAACCCACCGAGGGGGAAACTGCCTTTTGGTTTTGGGCTTCTTCGCCAGGGAGATGGCGCAATCCATACCGGGGCTGTGATTGTGCCAGTGAGCCTCACCTGTGCGGCAATTTCCAGGATGCCAGGATGATGATTAAACCACCAGAGTGATGAACACATAAACAAATACAATAAACCCTCACTTGCAGAAGGGAGTGAGTGGAAAGTTTCAGTGCCCAACCCCTCCAGGTTGACTGCTGGGGCTGCTTCAAAAGCACAGGGCAATGGGACAGAGGTCAGGCCTCTCCACTGAAAGCCTTTTCTCTCTTCCTTATGGGACGGGGCTGGACTAGAGGATCTCTAATATCTTCAGCCCCTGCACACTGTTTCTCTAACCATTCTAAGCTCCTAGAACGTTTCCATCTGCACGTGGCCACCCGGAGCCTTTGTGTGGCTCTGAGGGTTTGTGATGCTTTGCCCTGAATTGATTTTAAAAGGACGGAAAACGTTTCAGCTGCTTTGCTTTAGCAGGAAATTCGGCTAAAGCAAGTTTTAAAGCCCCTTCCCCAAGGCCCCCCCCAATCTCCACCCCACTTCCTCCCCCACCAGCGGCCGACATTTGTCCAGGCTTAAGGCCAGAAGGGGCAACCACGGACTCGCCTGTCACTCGGGGAAGGAGCAGAGGCCGAAGAGGGTCTGTTCGCGCTGCCCCCAGACGGGATCCGGGGAGTTCCAGCAGGGCAAAAAGACAAGTTGCTTCCTGGAGCCGGAGCGGCCACCTCTGCCAGGCTGCTGGCGGGGTCCAAAGAAGCCGTACCGAGGCCCGGCGGAGGAGCAGGGCGGGAGGGCTCTGGTCCAGCCGCCCCCGCTCTGGAGCCTCGCCCGCCCCGTTCTCCTAGGGGCTTCCGCTCGGGCGCCCAAGCCGAGGGCCGGAGGGGGAACCGGACGGGGCCTCCCCTCGTCCTCCCCCCTCCCCCTGCAGGAAACCCCGCGGCGCCCCCGACCGGCCACCCGGAAAGGCGAGCCGAGAGCCCGGCAGAAGCAGCCCGCCGCCCCGCCTCGCCCTCCCGTCCCACGCGGGGCTTCTCCGGGCCGCTGCGACAGGTGGCAACGCCCCGACCCGACCGCGCTGGGGCTGGGAGGCGTCCGGCAGCCGAAGGTCGGCCCGAGCGAGACTGGGGAGAACCAGCCGCGGCCGCGCTTCGCAAAACCGCCTCTCCCCCGACCCCGCGGGGCCGAAGCCGCCGAGCCGAGGCTCCCGGGCCCTCCCCGCCGTTCCCTGAGGGGCTCAGCCGGCCGCGCCCTCCCGCTCAGGGCCAAGGAGGGAGAAGGCCGTCTTACCTCCTGGTCGCCAGGCACGCGCTTCACTTGCTGGCCGTCGGGCTCTTCCGCCTAGCTGGATCGCGGCCCATCCTCCCCTCCCGCGCCCCTCCCCGCCTGCAGGCCCGCCCCGCCCCGCCACACCCGCCCATCCCCGCTGGGCTCCCGGCCGGCTTGGCAGGCCGCCGTCCCGGGCAGCAAGCCGAGAAAGACCGGCAGAGATGCTTCGCCAGACCACCCAGCCTCGGAACTCTCCTAACCCCAAAGAGGCCTCGACGGCTCCGCCGCCGCCCGACTAGCCCGCCGAGGGCGCCCGCTTGGGGAGCGGGCCGCGTTGCCGATAGATGCGGGCGAAGGCAGCCCCCCCCCCCCCCCCGGCCCGGTTCCTCTGCTCCGCTGCTCTCCTGCCGGATTTGGAGAGCCGTCGAGCAAGCGAAAGCGAGAGGTTTTCTGGCGGAGCCTTTCCGAGGGCCTGGAGGTGGCCGGGCGGCAGCAGTCGGGAACCGGGGAGGGGGCTCCCAGGCGAGGCACAACTAAGCTTCGCCCAGGGAGGCTCAGGGCGGTTTCATCCATGCCCACGCGGACTCAAGGGGTTTTGGTGCCCAAGTGTGCCAGGCGCTGGCAGGATCAAAGGGCCACGAAGGGAGCCATTGCATGTCCCGGAGCCCGATTCGTCCTCCTTCCCTTAGGACAGTGTTTCCCAACCTTGGCAACTTGAAGATGTCCGGACTTCAACTCCCAGAATTCCCCAGCCAGCGAATGCTGGCTGGGGAATTCTGGGAGTTGAAGTCC